TCAAGCCTTGAGTTACAGTATTTTGCCCACGTTGTTGTTGTTAAGTGCCGTCGAGTCGGTTCCAACTCATAGCAACCCTGTATAAGGTTTCTGAGGAGTGGCTGGTGAATATGAAGTGCCGACCTATGGTTCAAACTGACCTTCCTGTCCAGTGTTTATCCTTTAATACTGAAACTTGGTGCTTGAAGTTTATCTTCAGTTATGTCATGTACAATAAATAAACAGGTAAAAACTCATTTCAATCTCATCAGCAATCAGAGTAAAACAAATTAAAGCCCAACACTGCGGAAGCAGTTTGGCACCATACAGTCTTGTTAAACCAACAATTCTATTCATGAGAAAGGGTTCTCAAGCTCAGCTAAGCATTCCCTCCTCCTACCTAAAGCATTTGTATGTATGGATATTACACATTCACATGTACACATCCATTTACACACACAAATAAAATGTGTTCATAGAATTTACTAGGCAGAGAGCAGGGATACTAAAATTACTGGGATTGAAATAACTACACACTTAAACTATGTACAAGGAGGTACAAACAAAAATGTTCATTATAGAACAGGTACTGTACACAATATCAACACTGGAAAATAATCCAAATGTCATCAACACTAGAAAAGATAAATAGACTATAATGGAATATCATGGAAATTGAAAATAAATGACACTTAAATACATATAAATTAACATAGATGATTCTAAAGAATACTGAAACTAGCAAGATATATTAACATAAACAGTATGCTTTGAATATATGTGAGAATTAAAACAACAAAACAAAACAGTTTATTCTTTAAGGATATTTACACATGCAAACTTACAGGGAAAAAAAATTGCAAAAACAACAATATAGTAGTTAACTAAAAATCAGGATAGGGTTACCTCTGGGATTGGGTGGATCACACAAGGACCTTCTAAATACTGGGATAGTTTTGCTTCTTAAACTGGGTGATAGGTATGGATATTCATCAGTATATTTCTTTAATCTATACATTATGTTAAATATACTATTCACATATTTGATCTACTTTAAAAAAACAAAAACTTTATTACTTTCTAGCAGGAATATTTGAAATTTCTGAAGTTCATTGATAACAATTGTTGCTGTTAAGTGTCATCAAGTCGTTTCCAACCCATAGCAACCCTGTATAGGGTTTTCCAGGAGCAGCTGGTGAGCCTGAACCGCTGACCTTTGGTTCAAACCAACTTTGCAGTCCAGCGCATTAACCCACAGCGCCACACCAGGACTCCATTAATAACAACAATGCCAGTTATATTATCAAGTTCTGAAGATGGAGATGAAGTATGAATGACTCTAATGTGGGGCATTTTACAGAATGGGGAAAAGAGGCAAGCATTTCCTCTTTAGATTTATTTCATCTAGGGTGAGGTACCAAAATTCTTAATCTAATCTAGTTATTAATCTAGTTGAAGGAGATACCAAAAGTCACTCTTTGCTCACTATAAAATGGGGTTAACCCTTGTCCAGTTCAGCCCACAAGTCTATTGTTCAGATGAAGTAATATCAAATTACTTAGCAAATATGCAAATACAAGTTGCTGTTGTTGTATACTAAAAGGGTCTAGAACTCATGTTGGAGAAGAAATAATTATTTGGTGTTATTGTCAAGTGCTGTCAAGTCACTTTTGACTCATAGCAACACTGTATAGGGCTTCCAAGGAGCAGCTGGTGGATTTGAACCGTTGACCTTGTGGTTCCAAGTCCAGTCCAAGTGCAGCGCCCACACCAGGAGTTCCATTTACATACTAAAAGGATATGGAAATCATGTTGTAGAATAAATTATTTAGGACCAGCATACACTGAAATTCAGCCTAAATAATATAAGACATGATAATTATCATCAAATACTAGATGGAAAAAAAGGCATGAGATCTATTTGTTAAGAATTCTCTTAGAAGGCATAACCAGGTCCAATGAAGAAACACTTAACAAGTGGCGCCACTGTTAGGCACTCAGCTGCTAACCAAAAGTGGGTGGTTCAAACCCACCAGAGTCTCCAAGTGGGGAGGATATGCCAGTCTGTTTCCATAAAGATTTCACAGCCTTAGGAACCCTATGAGGCAGTTCTACTCAATCCAGTAAGGTTACTGCAAGTCATAACCTATTTGATGGCAATGGGTGTGGGGTTTTTGTTTATATCAAGAGAATCTAAGAGGGGATTTCTTGACAATAAGAGAGAGTAGTAGATTTAGAACAGGCTATGTGGTAACTTTGTTTCACTTGAACTGTCCAGATACAAACAAAGTTCCGCATGCATTTTTCAAAATAAACTCTTTAAATATACAGAGACTATAACTTTGTGCCTAACTCGTTTTGAAATGACCCCTTAATAGTCGATGGAATTTTAGGCAATGTATTTTACATCTTGGAATTTCAGTTTCCTCATTTGTGATAAAGAGAGTATCTTTCCTTCAAGGTTATTTTGAAAAATCATGGTGACATTTAAAATAACCTAGCACTAGTTTTCCATAAATGTTCAATAGCTGCTATTATTTTTCCTAGAAGTATTATTGAAGGTTTCTAAACTTGTTCTTAGCTAGATAACTAAGGCAAGGAGATCAGTTCAAGAAAACAAAACAACTTATATGTTTGAAAACAGCACAAAGAAGAGGCTGTATCTGATACTTCAGGAAAAGCAGCAAAACTGCTATGGGTCAGATTCTTTAAAATGTTATCCAAAGGCCTAAGGTCTCCCAAAAAGTTTCCTCAAGTATGTCTTCTATCATAAAATCTGTTTTAAATTTCATGGGCCTGAAAAGCACTTTTCAGTTTGCCAGAATAAAAATAAGACAGTGTTTTTAGTTGTTTAATGATACTATAACAAAAATATCTGAGTGGATGGCTTAACAAACAAATTTATCTTCTCAGTTTGGTGTTAAGTACCATCGAGTCAGTTTCTGCATAGGGTTTCTGAACAGTGACTGGTGAGCTTGAACTACCGACTTTACAGTTCAAAGTGACTTTGCAGTCCAGTGCATTAACCCACAGCCGAATTCAGAATGTCGGCTCTAAGGAAAGGATTTCTCTTTCTGTCTACTCGTGGGGAAGGTTCTCATCTCCTTTCAGCATCTGGGGGCCACGTATCCCTTGAAGATTTCCATGTGTCTTGGCATCAATCTTCCCCTGGGTCTAAGCCGTTCTCAGCACAAGGATACTGGGTCCAAAAGATATACTCTTTTACTGGGGCTATTTCTTTAGCAATTCTTTACTGGGGCTACTGAATTCTTCTTTATCCCTCCCCCTCCCTTCACTGCTCACCTCTCTCGTTTATCTCTTATAAGTTAAAAAGTGGTGCCAATGCACCCGAGGCAAATTTCCCTTACATAGGATCAGGACTGTGACCTGAGGGTGTTGTATCCCACCCTAATCCCCTTGCAACCTATAGTCTGAACACACCAGGTTTTACCATGGAGGATGATCACATCATCACATAACTGTCAAACCACTGAGCAGCAGGGCCCAAACAAGCTGACACATATTTTGGGGTACCACAATTCAATCCATGGCAGACATGAATTTTGTATATAAAACTTGATTCAGCAAAATCACATTATATTCACTATGATTTTGGTAATTGGTTTTTTTTGTGTGTGTGTGTGTGTGTGTGTGTTTTATAAATTAACAGATCATAACTAGCAAGTCCTTGCATTTAACCTGCAGAAACAAACAAAAAAGGCCACACTTTACAAATAGGAAATGCTGAATTTCAAAATTAAAATCATAGGTAAGCATAAATAAATAACTATCCTACAAATACTTTCATTCCAATATCGCTCACAAACCTTTTTCTTCTTGTATAACAGTTCTGAAGCTCAGATCAAGTCACGCTGCTGTCCATGAATAAAATTAAGCAGCACCCCCCCAAAGTTTAAATCATTGTGCATTCTGCCACAGTTATCTTTTTATTCTGTGCAAGCACTTTACAACACTCTGTGTGGATTGTAGCTTGGGCATGTTTTTTAACTTAAGTTTCAAACCGAGCTTCAAATTACCAGTGACGATCACACGCTGTAATGAAGTTGGTGGATTAGCTGAAATTAAAAACCCAGAATCCTCTTTACTAACGTTCTTTTCAAGCAGATCAATTATTTATGACCAAGTTCACCAACACTATGTTTTAATTTAGAGGCAATCCATTTGAAGCCAGCTATTTGAAGTAAACAGAATCTGGCTTCAAAACTTTTCCGCACCACAGAGTACAGGAAGAAGATGGGAGGCAAGTGAGAAAGAGAGAATACCACACACAAAAAAAAAAAAATCAAAAAGAAAGAGACAAAAGCCACAGCATCCACTGGGCTACTTCTCTGTCCGAACCTTCCACATAGATGGTTTCATTTCATGCTCATTTAATTTTACATAATTTCATTTCATTCTCACAACCCTATGAGGCAGATATTATGTTTCCCTTATTTAAGATTGATGCTCAAAAGCCTAAATCATTTATTTTGGGTCACTGAGTGACCTGGGGTTTGTCTGATTCCAAAGCCTGAGCACTTTCTTATGCATCAGATAAAATAAAACCTTAAAATCTGAATCACTTGGGGATCTTCAAAACAATAAAATGGAATTGAATACAAGTAACAAAGTCCTGGTGTGGCACTACAGGATAAGCACTGGGCTGTTAACAGCAAGGTCGGTGGTTCAAACCCACCAGCCGCTCCTTAGAAACCTTAGAAATCAAAATAGAGGTTTGATATGAATCAGCAACCAAATTGATGATGCTTAACAACAACAAATGCTTCCAAAGTATTCAGTGAATAACCGAAAGCCATGGTTTTGACTGCTTTTGAGAACCTGAAGTGTGAGGTTGCCACCAACATGCTTCAGGTGCATCTGCAAGGATGCTTTTATAAGACGGCAGTGTCTAAGTGAGAATAAAAGGAAACCATAAGTGGAGATCACATGGAAGGAGGAATGAAGCCACCTCCAGAAGCAAAATGAAGGCAGAGAACAGTAAGGATTCAATAGTCTCTTACCTGTTGTACTTCACTTTCTCCATTTGAGATTTTCTCAGTGTACACAAAGGAATTGAATATCCGCTGCAACAAAAAGAAAATGAACAAATATTAAGAGTTTCGAAATAAGACAGCCATCTTCCTTATGGGAGTATGGGTGAGTAATTTATTTACCACCAAAATAGAATCAAGTAGGAAAAAACAAAAACAAAAAACAATTAAAATACGCTAATTTTACACAGTATCAGCCAGTCAATCATACTTACATAAGCAATACCCAGGCACTTCTGCAGTGAAATAAACCAGATGTTACCCTATATTTTTCATTTTCAAAAATACATTTAATTATAGATTTCCGGAGTCCATGCCATTTTATCTGACTGGTATAATCTGACATAGTTGTGTTTCTCATTTAAATCCTGCACTCCCTGAATGTTGTAATTGTTTACAGATGCTAAAATCTAATGTAATAAAGCTCTTTAAAAAAAGGATTCTTTCCATATTCTCTCATGTCCTTGTCTAGTCAGTACCTACCCAGCATTGCCTATCACTTTCATTACCCAAGCATCGTCCCCTCAGGGAAGTAACATAAGAGGACATAATTGCCAAATATGGGTGGCCTTAGAGAAGATCCAGTTCTTTTAGATGCCAGGAAACATGACAATACTGCCAGGACATTAGCCTAAAGTACATCACACAAACACACACATTCTTTCACTTGTCTCTGCACATATCCACTAGTGTAAGCATTGTCTATATTTTCAAAGTGCCTTTGTGGACTTACGACTTTATGAAATCCTACATTTACTAAAAGGTGCTCTGGTAGCGTTGTGGTTAGGAATCGGGCTGCCAACCGCAAGGTCAGCAGTTTGAAACTACCAGCCGCTCCGTGGGAGAAAGAACAGGCTTTCTGCTCCCATAAAGATTTACAGCCTCGGAAACCCTGTTCAGGGTCGCTATGGGTCGGAACCAACTCGACGGCACTTAACAACAACAACAGCATTTACTAAGGAATTCCTAAGAACTAAAAAAAAAAGAAAAAGAAAGTTGAAGTGTAGCAGCTTCATTGTGTATTCTAAAGCCATCACTGTAACCTTCCAGACGAGCAGGGAGTGAGTCAGACCCAGAGATGTCAGCTAACATTTCCTTATTCTTCTCGATCCTGTTTATTGCCAAGGGTTTGTCAGTATCTGGGACAGCTTCCCAGTCAACAATACACCTGCATGGTTCTGGTGAGGAAAACAAATAGTAAGTTCATTAAGGGTTGAAGAATCGAATGAAGGAAAATTGAGGTGCTGGAGCAGACTTGGGAAGCATTGGGATGTAATTACAGTTTGGAAAATTATAATTACAAATTATCTTGGTGTCTCCCATCATTCTCCAACAAGCCACTCATTCATTCAACAAATATTTATTGTTCCTTTCTTTCCTATAAATGTCTTCACTGATAGAAAAAGCTTTCTAACAAAATTCTTAATTAAAGAAGATTATGATGATGTTGACTAATATTTACTGAAAGCTAAGTATGTTCCAACTACTTATTTAAAACCCTATACAGGATCTCTATGAGTCAGAATTGACTCCAGGGCACACAACTACCACCAACAACACAGATGAGGACATTTAAGCATTAATTATAGAGGACTTAGTGTGGTGCTTTAAGGAGCTCTGGTAGCGTACTGGTTACGAATCGGGCTGCGAACCATAAGGTCAGCAGTTCGAAACTACCAGTTGCTCTGCGGGAGAAAGATGAGGCTTTCTACTCCCGTAAAGATTTACACCCTCGGAAACCCTGTACAGGGTCGCTATGGGTCGGAACCGACTCGAAGGCACTTAACAACAACAACAAGTGTGGTGCTTTAGGATAAGCACTGGATTGCTAACCTTAAGGTTAGTGGTTCAAACCCACCATTCACTATTAAGAAACTCTATGTAGGGTCCTTATGCATCAGACCTCACTTGATGGTGTTTAACCACCACAACAAATATAAGGCACACATTGTGTCTCGTACGCATACCTTATTTAATCTTCATACACATTTACTGCAGCTGTAGAGATGAAAAACTAAGACTCTGAGAGGTTATGAAACTTACCCAGAGTCGCTTGAAAAGACTAGGATTTGAACCCGGGCACTGTAACTCTACATTTGGTGCTCTTAGCTTTTTGGCTTCCTAGGAATTTGCTACGTCATGGCTTGATACATATAAAAAACCTTTGTCAGGGCTTAATACCTGAACATGATACGCAGATTAAAAATCCCTTATTTAATTGTTAAATGGGAAGCTAATTTGCTCTGTAAACTTTCACCCAAACCATAATGAATAAAATAAAATCCTTTATTTGTAATTCCACCATTTAAAATGCTCCGAAAATTAAAAGGTTTTCTCATTTGTCATCTAAGTATCATATAACTTTAACTTCTTTGGTGATTAATTCCTAACTTGAACTGATAAGTCTTTATGTTGCTATTGTTGTTAAGTATCATTGAGTCAGTTCAAACTCATAGCGACCCTGTATAGGGTTTTCCGAGGAGTGGCTGGTGGGTTTGAAGTGTTGATCTTTCAGCTAGCAGTGTCACAGTCTTCATTAAATCCATTTAGTGTTGGTAGTCATGCATTTCGCTGCAGAGGCATTAAAGGCGTTTGATTATAAGGAGCTGTTCCAGAACTCACTGGGTATATTTCAGAATCAAGGGGAATCGAGATTCTGAATGCTAAAGCATTATAAATCTGTAGCCTTCCATTGCTACCATTCTCAAGTCCCAGTTTTCTAGTGAAAACCATAAAACTATAGATTGTGAGGCTCTTAGAAACTGTACTTTACTTCTAACCCAAACACTGACGCTTCAAATCTACCCAGCAGTCCTGTGGAAGAAAAGACCTGATGATCGGCTTCTCCAAGAAAACTCTATGGAGCAATTCTACTCCGTTACATACGACTGGATGGCAAGTTAACAACAAGTCACACATCATCACTAAATCCATACTCTCAGGTTTTAATTTTCATACAAAAATGGTTCTGCACCAAAAGTACCTCTTTATAAAAATTAACATAAATGTATACTGTCTCCAGATCCTGATGAATATAGGGATTTCCTATTTTCTTTCTGGTTGTTGTTCTTGTAAGTGCTATGGAGTTGGTTCCAACTCACAGCGACCCTGTGTAAGGCTGGTAGTGATGTTCCAATTGAAGCAGTACCTGTTCTCTTCTGGACAGTGCTCTCCCAAGAGGTGATTGACAAAGGGGTGAGTGAACAATTAAAGGGAAAGAAAAAGATCCACCCTGCTCCAGACAACACCCACCAAAGACACAATCTAAGGAAGAAAATTAGATTCTTAAAATAAATACTGATTCCTCAGTAGTAACAAAGAAGATATACTGAGACAGCTGTGATTTTACATAGCTGTGTTCTGGTCTCCTTATTACTCATTTATTATTATCCTAACAGTTATTAACGCTGAGTCCCATTCAGTCAATTCCTACTCAGAGAGACCACAACTGGCAGTGTTGAACTGCTTAAAGGAAATGATTGCTAGCTGAAAACCTATCAATTAGCTGCCAAGCATTTAACCATTGTACTATCAGGGTTCTTCACAAATCTTCATGTAGATCGTATTATGGGTTATGGAATATTTTCCAATTTTCAACACCTATATGAGTAAAAGAATGTTTATTAAAACAAAACTTGGAGAGGAGGGTGGAATGGAAATAAGAACCACAAGGAGGAAATGGGATACGTGTTGTTACATGGAGGGGATTGCAATCACTGAGATGAAACGAAGTGTACGATGTGTTGAATGTAAAACTGATGATCTGCTCTGTAAACTTTCACTCAATTCACAACAAAAAGTTTCAATAAAGAAATAAAATCACTGCCGTATAGCGACCGTATAAGACATAGTAGAACTGTCCCATAGGGTTTCCTAGGTTGTAAATTGACACAGAAGTAAACTGCTATTATCCTTCTACTGTGGAGCAACAAATTGGTGAGTTCGAAGTATTGACTTTTTGGTTAGCGGTCAACTGCCAAGCGCTGTACCACACCAGGGCTCCTTAAAAATATATATATAAAAAAAGACAAAGAACATTTTTAAAAGCTTAGATGTGAGCAGAGATGATACAGTAAGCTTACCTATTGCACACACCCTCTAAGCACATCATGGGTAACAGATGACCTGTAAGATCATAAAGTTCGGGGCTATCGCCAAACAAACAATGCCCTGTCCCTCCTTTCTTCTCTAGGAAAAAAAAAACAAAACATTAAAAAATAAGAAAGGAATCAGAGCAGTAGAACCTAGACAGGTAATTTATGATATAATCACTGAATCATGTCTGATGCAGGGTTAAATGCTCAGGCACACACAAGATCTCCAGGTACACGGTGAGTTTCCACTATGCTCAGAACTAGGTCAGTGGAGAGTAATCACCTTTCTTAAAACCCAGGGCCTGGTAAGGCCAAGCTCTCCAATAAATAATCTCATTTGATCCTCACAATAGCGCTGTGTGGTATAGAGGGAGGACAAGGATCTGAAACCTAATGTTACAGAATCAAAATACAAAAAAAAATTTAAAAAACCATGATTCAAAAGTTAGAAGATTTATCACAGGTTAAAAAAAAATCGAAGTACTGAGACTTGAACCTAGATTTTGAGCTTAAAAAAGGTGCTTCTTTTAGCAAAAAAACAAACACATGCTGTCACATCATCATTTTGTTCGGGATAAACCAGATCTCTTGCCATCAAGTTAATTCATCATGATCGTACAGGGAAGCAGAGAGCTCTGCTCCAAAAATTTCCAAGGCAGTAATTTTTATAGAAGCAGATGACCACACCTTTCTGCCACAGCGTGTCTCATAGGTTTGAACTGCCTACCGTTTTAGTTAGCAACTGAGTGTTTCACAGGAATTCATAACTAAACTGAATTCTTAGAAAAATATGAGGATTTGTAGTTTTATCTATCCATGTAACTAAAATGTGCTGGCACAACCTTATACATGTGACCTTATGTCAAATGTAATTGTTGTTGGTAAATGCTGTCGAATCAGTTCTGACTTACAGTGTCCCTGTATAAGGTTTCC